TTAAATTGAAATAGTGTGAATGAAATCATCACCCAGCGGGAGTCTTCCTGGCTCCGGGGATCAGTTGGCAATTGTTTTTTTAGACTGTGATAATGGGCCCCTGAGGGGCAGAGGAGGGAGGGGGGTGTGTTGGGAGCACCTGGTTCCCAGCTGCATAGCTCTGCAGGACCCTCCAGCCTCACTTTTTGCAGGGGCTGCCTGGCCTTGGGGCTCAGGAGGGAAAAGGTCCAACTTGGGCCAAAAGCTATATGGAGGGTGAAGAGTGTGTGGGATTCTCTCAGAGAAATTAAAACAAACTCATTGATGTTAAAACCTCATTGGCGTGGGGTCTCAGCCAACTCATGTCAGACCCTCCCACAGGTTTTCAGGTGGCAATAATTTCATAGGAGGAGATTGCTCATCTTTTTCCTCTGTAGTTGCTGGTGGATTCGAACTTGCGAAGAGATTCCACCCTTGGGTTACCAGTCCGACTCCCTATGGAATACCCCCCACCACCAGAGCTCTCTCTCCTTAGAAAAGTCCCTCTTTTTCCTAGACTCTCTTCACTAAGGGACTCTCTTTACCCCTTTTAAAGTCAGCACTTGTCTGCTGGGGCTGCCAGATGAGGGCTCAGGGTGCCCTTACACTGTGAGTCAGTCAGTCCACACATCAAAGATGGTTCTTCCCCCCCCCCTCCATTTTCTCCCCGTATTGTGGGTTTGTTTTTTTATCCCTCTGACTGAAATCTCATAGTCCCAGGTTCCTCAGGTTTTTGTTGATTTTTTAACCTTCCAACATTACTAGATTTATAGTGGGAAAATGGATACATTTATTTTATATGTGTTCCTGTCCAGTCCCCAAAACTGGATTCCTTTCTGGGTAGAAGAATGAACATTTTTTAAAAAATCCAAACAAATCAAAAAACCAGCCAATGACTTATTTGTTAAGAAAGGTGGCAATGATAAGCCAAAATCCAGCACACAACTGAAACCAGCTGCCCTGAGTCTATCCCAACTCACAGGAACCCCATTTGTGCAGAGTTCAGATGCCCCATTAGGTTCTCATGCCTGTAACTTTTTGGAAGCCGATTACTGGCCCTTTCTTCCAAGGTGCTTCTGGGGAGGTTTGAACCTTCAGTCTTCCAGTTAGCAGTTGAGGGCTTAACCATTTGTGCCATTCAGGGGCTCTGTGGATTCTGATTTATGGCACTCCCATAAGTTTAAAGTATACTTCCTTCCTGGATGTTTATCTGCTTTAAAACAATTCTTTAAAAAAAAAAACAAACAAACCAAAAACCGGGGGTCCACTGTGTCCAAGCCTCTAGATCAGGTGCCGATCGCTGCGCCCCCGAAGATAGCAGCGCCTGCCAGCCCTGCAGCACCCAGGCGGCGCCCGCGGCCCCTGTCTCCCCGGCTCGGGACCCAATTACTAACTGCTGGAGCTGCCGCGTGCTCTCGGGCACAGGGCTGATCGGGGCGGGGGGCTACGTGTACTGGACTGCGAAGAGGCCCTTGAAGCTGGGATACGCCGCAAGACCCGGGCAGATTGCGCAGATGGTGATCGGCATCAGTCTTGCAGTTTGGGGTCTAGTCATCCTATTAGATCCCCAAAAGAAGACTCAACAGGCAAATTGAAACTGAAAGGACCATCACGAATTGTCATCTGTTGTATTTGTCCTCAGAACATACACATCCTCTTGACCCACAGAGGGAGCATGGTGTCAGTGAACATGTATGGACATGAACATACTTAGCCTTGAAGCTACTAGAAGACTGAAAAGCCAAAGCATGGGTTCTCGCCCTCAGCCAGGACTTTTTACAGCCTTCACTTCAGGCCCCAGATCAACCATTATTTAAAGAATCTTTTGTACTCCTTTCATAATTGAGTTAATACCCAGTATGATCCTGACCCTGGATAGATGCCCTGTACTGTTCAGAAGTACACACAACATCCTATTTGTTCTGCTCGCTCTTTTCAAGTTTCTTGCAAATGCATCATTTGAGTGCTTCCTAGCTACTCAGGTTATTATACTGGTTGTGAACCTAGACCAAGTGATTTGTGGAGTGTCAGCAATGGAGCAAGACCTAATACTTACGAACAAGGATGGCTTCAAGAGAGAAGATTGACCTTGGAGGAACAGACTCATAAAAGTCAGATATAAAAACTTATAAGTGTCAAAACATTTGAGAGGGATTTGAAACTTCTTATAATAATAAATATTTTTTAAAGTAAAAAAAAAACAACACCAAAAAACCAAACCAACACCCTGCATAGAGTCCCCAACAACCCTAATCCCAGGGTTCTTCAGTTCAGTTCAGTAGGGTTCCAGGCATTAGGAAGACTGATAAGAAGGGGTTCTGGGATAATGCCCTTCAGGTTATTCCACAGTATAGGTCACCACTCCACTAAAACTGAGGGTGAACCCAAGACTGTCTCTTGTTCTCCTCAACAAAACAGAGGGGATTAGGGAGCTCTGGCAGCCTCGTGATAAGAAGCTGCCTTGTCAACCCCAAAGGCACTTGGTTAGAATCAAGACATCTGCAGCTCAGTGGGAGGAGGATGGGTAGTCTCCTTCTCTTCAGTTTATTGCCTTTGAAAACCCTCCGGAGGGTCGGCTATGAGTCAGTTCTGACTTGATCATATACAACAACAGCATCACTTTTTCCAGTAAAAAGTGTGCTTGAGCATCCCACGTCTAACCCTTTGTTCATTTCACCCAGCTCGAGCAGTAGATCTCAGGGACTAAGTGATTCCTCTCCTCTGGAGATTGTAATGAAAAGAGATGGGTTCCTAGATCTGCCTCTGCCTCCGCAACACTTGAGAAACATCAAAACAAAACCCAACCCAGCAGTCCTCCAGGCCCCTGCCTCAGCTCAGACTCTCCGAGGGAGGCCTTCGGAAATCTGTGTTTTTAACAGGTTACCAAGATCATGTGGATATCAACAGTTCATGGAACTATGATCTGTCCCTGTCTCTAAGTAACCCAACCCAGAAAATCAGTCTCACTCAAAGGTGTTAGTGTGAAAGTTCTAGATGCACAGACCAACTGGGAAGTCCAGTCTAATATGTTGTAGACCTCTTCTCCGGAACGCAGCACCCCTTCAAGTCCTCAGTCTGCCCTCCAAGGAGAGGAGGATGGCCCTCCACTCCCTGCCCATAAATAACTCTAGTATTCCCTGGTGGCTGCACTGACTCTTCCTGTATAGCTTTCTTATTTCTGCCTTGGGGGAAATTGCCACCAGAATGCTCCTGAGAAGCAGGAGTAAGATGCATCTCAGGCACTTTGGATGTCCTACAGGGTGAACCAGTACCTGGAGGAGATCATGCTTGCTCAAAGGTCAGAGAAAAAGAAGTAGCCTTCATGAAAAGAGGTGGGTCGACAGTGGCTGCAACAGTGGGCTCAGCATCACTGGTTGGAAGATGGAGCAAGACAGTGTTTTGTTCTGCCACACGTAGGTTTGCTGTGACATGGATTCAACTTGACGGCACCCAGCAACAATGATCATAAAATTTCTGTGAAAATAATTCTGTTTCTTCAACCTCTAAGGGATCTTTTTCGAATCCATTTTCTGAAATTCTAACCACAGACTGAGATGCTCAGAAATGAGTGGACCAAAGAGGCAGGCATGGTTTTTTTGGTAGACAGCTTAGGAGTTGGTTACAATAATTGAAGTGCCAGCATCCACCTGCCCTGGGGTGACACCTGCAGAGTAAGAGTGGCAGGGTAGGGACAAGGGCCAGCCAAGGGGAATAAGTAACTGGGAGGACATTTCTCCAGCCTTTGGGATGAGAAGTCAGAGGGCTTAAAACTGTAGGATGAAAGTTCAACAAATTGTAGGTGAGCAAACCCTGGCTTTCATTTTCATTTCTTTTGTGTAAAAAGGGGCGGGGAGGCGAGGGAGGAAAGGAGTGTCTGTCCCTCAGGGAATGGTCACGGACAGTTACATGTTCAGTCTTGTAAAGGTCAAGCCTGAATTCCCTGAGTCTGACTGACTGAGCCAGGATGAATGGCTTCATGTTTGAACCCATGTTTCTTTCTGACCCAACAGTTTTCTCACTTAAAGTTTCTATTTGCAAAGGCTCTGGCAATTTGGATGAAGGAAAACAGGTTCACGATAAAACTAACTAACTGAAGCTTCTCTAGTGCATTACTTCCTGTACTGCTAACCAAAAGATTAGCAGTTCGAATCCACCAGCTGTTCCATAGGACAAAGATGGGTACTGTTCCGCTCCCTGTAAGATTTATAGACTTGGAAACCAGATAGAGGGTCACTATGAATTGGAATTGACTTGACAGCAGTTGAGTTTGGATTTTGGTTTGGTAATGAGGTGTGGTAGAGGGTGAGCTAAAATGAAGAAACCGTAGTGAGATGGACTGACGTAAGAGTCACAAGAAAGGCTCACACATGCCAGTGACCATGAAGCTGGTGCAAGGCTGGACAGCATTTCATTCTCCTAGACTTCTGAGGATGTGATGAATTGAAGCTGGCTCCTTGGCAAATAGTAACAATGAGCTGTGGGTGTCAAGGACCCTCATTTGCACTAAAAATTCCTTTTTAATCAATCGCATACCTAACTCCTTCCACAGTGCCCCCCTCCCCGTTATAGATGAGTATTCTTTTCAAACAGGTTCGTCCTGGAGAGGATGAAACCAGGCTGCTCTTTAGAGGCTAGGATTCTGAAGCTCTATCTGACATGCTTTGGGCATGTTTCAAGAAGGGACCAGTCCTTGGAGAGGGACATCATGCTTATAAGGATGGAGGGGACAGCACAAGAGAGGAAGACCCTCGATGAGATGGATTAATTCAGTGACTGGAGTAATGGGGGAAGGTGTGTCAGAGACAATAAGGTTGGCACAGGATAGAACAGCTTTCAGAGCTATTGTACATAGCGTCACTATGAGTCGCAAGCAAATTGATGGCACATAACAACAACGACAACTCAAAATTTCACGTTTTCTTGAGTTGTATAAACTGCAGGCCTCATAAAACCCAGAGCCGCCTCTGGTCTGATGAACTCACCGTTGTGTACAATCTTCCTTTGCTGTTCATGGCAACGAAGAGGGCACTTTTCACCCCAAAGAGACTCACTACTCCTCGCTCCACTGTGGAAATTTCCAGCAAACCTGACAAAGAGAGAGGGCCACGTGACTTCAGGTTTGAACAGATCACAATGGGGGTCAGCCTAGTCTAAGTGCCGAGTCAGCCTTTGCTCTGGAAGGCTGCCTCTCCCATGGTGCCTCTCCTTTCCCTTCTAACTCTATGAGAGTCCCTGCTGCTGGACTGGTCACTGCCTGCCTGTATGCTGTTTAAATCCCACTTTTGCAAGGCATGTTCTGATGCAGCATTAAGAAGTAGAAGAGCCATTCATGTGTCTATTTGGGTTTAATTTTTAATCTAGGCTTTCCCTGACCTGAAGTCTTTGATTTGCATAAAAAATGGCTTCAGATTAACTTCTTATTCTATTTGTTAATATCTATTCCATCTGTTTCAATAAGTTCCTATCATCTAACGTCAAAAGCACTGCTGTCACATAAAGGCCGATGGTTTGCCTGCATCCTATGACCTCATTATTTTCTTGGGTAGGAGAGCCCATCAAATTGTATGAGAAGAACCTAGGGCAGAAGGGTGAGCGTGGAAAAAGACTGATGTGCCCCAGCTGGAAACTTTGCAGACCATTTGCCTTTTTTCCTGAAAGAGAGACCTGAGTAAAAATAAGCTGGTGTCTAATTTGGGCCAAGTATTCCCTACTTACTCTCCCCAGCTTTGCTGTGTGGCTTCCCAGGCGATTGGTTCTCACTGATCTGCAGAGGGTCTGTAACTCTGTATAGTAAGGAACTGGGGCACAGTGGTTAAGCACTCAGTTGTTAATTCAAAGGTCAGTGGTTCAAACCCACCAGCTGCTATTTTGGGAGAAAGATGATCATGGTCTACTTCTATGAACATTATGGTGTTGGAAACTCCATGAGGTTGTTCTCTTCTATCCTATAGGGTTGCTTTGAGTTGAGATTAATTCAGTGACAAGTAAGACCAATAACAATGCTCAAGTAACTGCAGCCACAGGATATGCTGTCTTGTCTGTCAGATGATGGCCAAGGACAGCCAGGATGCTTGGACCTTAGTATCCAGAGCCTGCCAGTGCTATACTGAGTCTTAGGAGATGGGTATTCTTATAGGCATATTAGTGGTAAATAACATTCTTTCTCCTTTATAGTCCTTGGGTAGTTTAAATAGTACGTTTAACAGAGAATCAAAAGGCTGGAGGTTCAAGTCCACTCAAAGACTGGCTATCTACTTTTGTAAAATCAGCCATTGCAAATCCTGCAGAACACAAGTCCACTCGGACACACATGGGGTCACTATGAGCTGGAATTGACTCAGCAAGATTAGTTTGCATGAAGTCCAGCCAAGCAGACTCCCATTCTCTCAGAGCCACGCCTGACCCACGCCCCTGAGCATCCCAGTGGGTTGCAAGTGCACTCACTGTAAGGGTTCTCGTCGTGGGTCCCGCAGATCCGACCGTCAGGGGTCACCTGGAGGTGAAAGCCGATGCCAACGTTGCAGTAGAGCCTCCGCTGCCTTTTGATTCCCACCAAATAGCCGCTTTCCCAATTGACCCCGGCGATGTCTCCAGCGAGCCCGGCGCGAGACCTGGACAGCAGCGTGCCCCAGCCCCTGGAGTCCAGCAGCGTGCTGTTGGCGCGGCTGCCCGCGGGTGAGGGCACCACCATGCCCACTAGGACGCCTAGGAAGACGAGAGCCTGCAGCGTGCCCTGAAGGCGTCCTGCTCCCCGGGACATAGTGATGAACAGCCTCTGTCCCAGGGCCATCCACCTTGCCTCTCAGGCACGTGGTCAGAATTAAAGGCCCTAAAAATACCGCCCTTCTGGTTTTTTTCCCCTCGGCATGGCGGCAGGGGCTTATTTTTGGAAGGCAGAAGACTGCTGTCATGAATCCAAAGCCTGCTTGGGGCACTCGAGTTGCGGCTGGTCGGGACCATGGCTTGGGGACACTCGCTGGCCCGCCTCCCCGGTCCCGAGTTGATTATATTTGATTTGACCTATCTTTATAGTTCAGGAGCCAGGCCCTCCCCCTCCACCCTTCACCATCACCCTGACGTCAACTGGCCCAGCTCTCTGATCTAGGGCTGTAACTTAACCTGCTCCTGGGTCTGGCTGCCTCCCCAGACCCTCATCACCCTCCCCATTCCCTAGGGACTCCAGGAGCCACTGTCATTCCAGCTATGAGGGAGGAATGAAGTAAGCAGGGAGCATCTCTTGGGGGTGTGTGTGGGGGAGCTGGCTGGAGGCCCAAGGGGAGAAGGAGGCCAGAGGCCACCGAGGACCCAAACTGGGATGAAGTTCTTAGCCCGGCAGAGCTGGCTTTCTTATTTAGAGGGGAGAGGTTAAGACAGGGATGCAGAAAGGCTTGGTAGTGACAGGTGATGGCTGTGACCTACAAGTTACTTTTGAGAGTGCATGGTTGAGAGCAGGGGCTTGGCACATACAGAAAGTCTCAACCCCTGAGAAGGACAGGACAGATCCCAAAAAGCTTTAGGATTATGAAAGGAGGGCAATATAGCCGGGCCAACTCTGCTGCTTGCCTTGATCATAGGGCTTACCCAGCTAGTGGGATATAAGTCTTGACATAGCCCATGGTTCGTTTTCTTACCTGGTCTCTCTCTTGGATTCTAAGTATTATTATTCATTTTTTAATTAATTTTAATGGAAGTTTACAGAGACTTAGGGTTTCCAATCATTCATTGTTGCACTTTTCTCCCTGCCCACTCCCTTCCTTCCAATTCAATCTTCTCCCTGAAAAATAAAAGAAAAATTCTTTCATTGTTATTCAATCCCTCCCCCAAGTCCACTCTACTGTGCAGCCTTCACCCTGGACTCCTGTCATGACAAGAATACCCAATCATTTTGTGCCCAGCCAGGGATGCAAAAAAAAAAAAAAAAGAATACCCAATCATACTTCCCTTTTAAACAGTTCTCTCCCTTATCTGTGTCAATGCAGTATACATCATCCTTCCCCTCCTTCTCTGTCTTCCCTCAACCCCAATGTCAGTCCCATTTTACAACAGTGGCACTATGCAATATTTGTCCTTTTCATGTTTTAGAGATAAAGAAAGCAAGGTTTAATGAGGTTCAGTGACTTGCCTGATTTACCACAGCTAGTAAATGACAAAGCCAGAAGATTAAAAAATCTGCCTGACTGAGAAGATGAGTTAATGATGGGTGTAATTCAATAGGGATTAAGTTTATAATAGGAATGATTGTATGAAACACAAAGTGAGTGAGGGAAAGTGTGAAACACAATGTTTGTGAATTTTGTATGCAAATCAATATAAAATTCTTTTTTAAAAAACCAAATAAAAAAATAGGAAAAGTCTGCCTGAGCCCAAAGCCTATGCTGGTAATGTCTACGATATTGCCCATAGCCAGTATTAACTTTCTAGGCTTGTCTGCAAAGTCTATTTCACTCATATGCCAACAGTAGACATGGGATTATTTTGATAGCACAAAACAATTTGTTTAAAAAAACATTTGTTGAATGCCTTGGATGTATGTGGAATTTCTGCATTGGTGGACAGTGTTTGCTAGGGTGCCTATCAGTTAAAAAAATAGTCAATCAAACAAAACCAACTCAAACTCATTGCTATTGAGTCATAATTGACTTGTAGCTGACCCTCCAGCATGTTTTCAGAGATTGTAAATCACATGGGAGGAGACTGCCCATTTTTCTCCCATGGAGCCACTGCTGAATTTGAACCACCTGTTAGCAGCACAGCTCCCTATAAACTTTACCACTAGGGCTCCAATTAGACCCTAAAGAAAAGATTTCTGCTAAGTACTTATCCCCACCTCTAGTTTTCTTTTCCCTAATTGCCTTTAAACAGATCACACATCTAACCACAGTAAATATCCTCTAAGACATCCTATAAGATGAAATATAAGGTAGAAGCTGCTTTGTCTCTGGGAGTGACATTGACAAACAAGGTTGAGTCAAAAATCTAGGGTTGTTATCTTTCAACCCACATCTTGGTGAAATTTCAGCAGTGATTGTGCAAAAATACTGAAAACTATGTGTGTGGAAATGTGAGGAGTGGATTTGAACCCCCAGTGCAGTGAAGAGAAATCCTAGCTCCCTTGGCTGTACGACACCACATTACCAGGGTGAGATCCACTGTTCAGAGTGTCTTGTGGAGTACCATGAATCTCTTCTCAGACTACAACATGCCTCTGGGTTTGAAGTTCCAATCTCTAGTTCCTTGGCTTCTACTTACTTCTGCCCTTGTCCATAGCTCGTTTTGATTGATGCTTTGGCTAGATTTTCCACTAAGCAATGCTTTTCTAGTTTTCCCTGGACATGTTCTAACTGAAAGACATCATGCTTGGAAAAATAGAGTTTCAGCAAAAGAGAAGAAGCTCTTCAATGAGATGGATTAACTCAGTGACTGTAAGAATAGATTTGGAAATTGTGTGAATAGCACAACATAGGACAAGGTTTTGATCTGTTATTTATAAGGTCACATTGAATTGCGGTTGATCCAATGATACCTAACAACAACTACAATTATGTTGTATAACTCTTACCAATCATCGTTGCTAAATTTTCCATCACCATAAGCAACCTGGCTGTTCATAGAATCAGTAAGAGTTCAGATCCCTTGAAGTCCCGACACCCCTCTTTCATTCCTCAGATGGTAAAATGAATGGTGAGGGGTAGATGTACCTCCATTTGATATCACCTGCATTAATGTCCCCTCCAGCTTCCCTTCCATAATTTATCCTTTCACCTCCATTTTCTTAACATCCAACCCCTTCAACATCAGGGCCATGATTTCCCAACCAGTGAGACACTGTGTAGTCTTTGGTGAAAGAGAGAGAGAAAGAGAATGGGAATGAGTTGAAAGAAAGGAGATATGCAAAAAAGCTACCTGTTAATTGTGTGTTGCTAGGAGGGGCTATTCCTTGGAAAGGAGCATGATGCTGGGAAGGGTGGAGGGTCAGCGAAGGAAAGGAAGACCCACAACCAGGTGGACTGACGCAGTGATTATAGCAATGGGCTCTTGTGTGTCAGGAAGTGTGAGGATGGCACAGGATAGAACAGGGTTCAGATCTTTTGTTCATAGAGTCGCTGTGGGTCATACTCAACTCAGTGGCAACTAATGACAGAAAATAACAACAGCCTGTTAATTGGTGGATCATGAATAATCAAAAGACACAACTGTCAACAAGAAAGATGTTCTTTAAAAAAAAGAAAGATATTATTCCTTTTGGATTTCAAACTTGATGTCATATAGTTTAGCCTTTATGGATGTAAAAGCAGTAAAGACTCTCTCTTGACGATATTTAACTTGGAATTATATGTTAGTTAGCAGTTGTACCCACTTAGGGAGGAGGCACACCGGAAGCATGCTGAGTATTAAGGATAAGTTACCCTTCTATTAAAATTTGCCTTGCTGATATCTAGAACAGGCAAATATATAATGACCACGACTATTATTGGTTACTGAGCATGGGAGAGGTGGGGAAAGAGTCATAGATTAGGGAGGCAGTGAGTTACTGTTTATAGTGATGGAAAATTTGGCAATGATGATTAGCAAAGGTTGTACAACATAATTAGTGTAACTGAAATCACTAGCTTGTCCATGTGAAAAATGTCAGATTGGTGAGTGTGTTTTATCTATCTATCTATCTATCTATCTATCTATCTATCTATGTATCTATCTATCGAGAGAGAAAGAGAGAGCTCTGGTGGCCTAGTGGTAAGGAACTGTGCTGTGATTCCGAAGACACGTGGTTCAAATCCACCAGCTGTTCCACAGGAGAATGATGGGCAGTCTCCTCCTGTGTGATTAACTGCCTCTGAAAACCCACTGAAAAGGCCAGCTATGGGTCGGTTCTCACTCAACAGTACACAACACAGCAACAACATATTTATATATGTATTTATAAATATATATAATACATATTTATGAATATATATATGTTTATATATTTGTTGTTGTTAGATGCTGTTGAATCTGATGCACTCATCAGAAAAGGTCAGAATCTCTTGGTGGAACTCTTTTTGGCATCCATCATCCTAGAGGAGAGACAAACTTTAGCAGATCCAAGCTGTATATAAATACAAATGGAAAAATGTCCTTAAGGTTTGCTCACCCCAGATTATTCTCTGCAGAAGATATGGTTGGTATCTTAAACAGCAGGGGACTTTGGAATGAGAAAGATCTGGATTTTAATCCCGTCTACAACACAGATTAGCTGAGTGACCCTGGGAGAGTTTGAAACCTCTCTGAGTCTCATTTGTTTTTATCTGCAAAATGAGATTGTTTTGCCATAGGCCTTTTGTTACAGGTAATAATGAAAAGGGCCTAGTGCAAGAGCACAAGATAGCTGTCGCTCAGTTCTTGCTCTGAAACACACTGAAGATCTGTCATTCAGTTAAAGGAGAACACACTCAAAGTAAGAAGTACCATTTCTCATTTCAAGGGTTGGGAGAGACCGGAGAGCTTCCAGCACCTAACTGCTGTCCAGCAGAACATATGTTGTGATGGCTGTTAACATATGCAGGAGCTGGCAGCCCAGATTCCTAAAATATTCTGAAAACCAGTAATAGCCTTAGTGTCGTTCCCTGTTAAATTTAAAGCTTAAGTAATTCATTCTATTAAAAAGCCTGCACCTTATTTTTATCGGGTGATGTGATGAGGCCCTGTTCAAAATGCTCCTCCTGTGGCCATCTCTATAGAAACTCTGCTGTGCTCATATATCCATATATTTTCCTGAAGGCTAATTAAGTTGACAACTGCTGGGCCTTCTTGGTTTACCAGATTTGCACTTGACCCTTCACTTGGGGCTTAGGGAC